CGCACCTGCCAGCACCCACCCTAGTGGCAGTAGCAGCAGTGGCCAGCAGCCCATCCCAGCCGTTCAGGCCTGCACAAGTGCCTGAGCTTGTCTGCCCCTGCTGTTCGTCTCTGTTTGTCTCTCCTCCTCCTCCTAAATTGGTTTTCACACCCATGACTGAGCTGCTGCACCAGCAGAGCACGTGCTCGCCCTTGCTGCACTTCTCATATGACACCACCGCTGCTGCCTTGGAGGCAGGCCTGTTCTCACACCTGCTCTCACTGCACATTCACATGTCCCTCGAAGAGTGCTTTGCGCTGTTTGCCATGAGCGGGCCCTGCCTCATCTCACCTGTCCTTGCTGGTGCTGGCATCAGCATCGCAGCTGTGCAAGGTGAGTCATCGCTGTTCACACTCGTGTGCCTGCTGCACGCGCTCAGCTTTCCCAAGGGCCAGCCCCTGCCGCAGATGCACGCGCCCCTCTTCGAAGGTCCACTGCCTGTGTGCTCATGCTCAGAAGGCCAGCCTCCACTGCAGATGCGTGGCCTCTGTGCTGCGCGTGGACTATTTTGCCACGCTGAGGCCAGTGAGTGGTCATGGACATAGATATGGACACACCGAGTGTGTATGGGAATGGGAACGGGGATGGTGGGGGTGGAAGTGGAGGTGGAAGTGGGTTTGGGAGTGGCATCCCTGAGCCAGTCTTTGAGGAGCATGCACTGCAGTGCATGTTCTGCCGGTTGGTGTACGATAATGGGGACAGGAACTTATGGCTCAGCTTGCTAGTACCTGCTCATTGTCACCACTGACAGCAAGAATGTTTCTTAGTAGCTATTAATAGTAAAGTCAATTGAAGTTTATTTGTGTCAAATATTAGCATTTGGTATGCATGAAAGCAGAGCCTGTGTAGCCAAATCCTCATGAACACCATGCTTGCTCAGTCTTATAAGCCATGCATAGATGCTGCAAACTATATAGTATTATATAACTATACAATATATATATATATATGTTGTGCAGACTATATAAACCCTACAATCTTGACTAAAGTTGGCCAGATTCAAAAACACCACCAATCTATATATACTCTTGCTAGGGATTTGAAATGGTTTAGTGTAATAGATGGTTTTCAGATTGTACATGGATATATTTAACATTACAAGAGATTCAATAAAAGTCTGATGACGTTGTCTACTGCTGACCATTCTATTAGAAACCTTTCTTGCAGTACCACCCCTCGACCTACCACTCCATTTATGCCCGTATCTCAAGGAAGTGGCTTTCACGATTCCTTTCTTTGGCGAATCATTCTCTACCAACAGCCAGTGGGGGCAGACTTTCATTCGAAACACCATACTTCACCTTCTGCACTCTGTGGAAGTGCTCAACATCGCTTGCACTTGCACTGAGCTGTTGGCCCACGCAGCCTCAGCTGATGATGACATCAACTGGGAGCTGCATGCAGTAGGATGGATGCCATTTTTCACTGCAACATGACACTTGCCCAACCTTTGCACCCTGTACGTTTGTCTTCGATGGGGTGACCAGATAAACAACTGGAAGCCTGGCTACATTGCAATCATCAAGCAATATGCAACGGCACTGAACAGTGTCTCCTGCCTACGTGTGCATCTACTTTGGCTAATTTGTCTCTACTAGACCTCACCGTTCTGTGTTTTGGTTGCAGTGTGAATAGAGATCTCACATACAGACTACAGCTCCCTCCTCCTTTATTGTGAGCTTGATTGTGTACCATGTGACGCCTGCTTTAACCTTCGCTGATATTATGTGATATATCCTGACTAAATTTTGCTTTCGCGTATCCTTCGAGATTGGCTGCTTCTCGTATCCCTTGCAATGGGCCATCGGTTTGTTTGCCGAGTCCGACAACTGTTTGTAAAGCTTCTTTATCAGTGCATCCGCCATTTTCGACCTGGTTACACACAAAAAAACTTGGCAATGACACTGTATTCAATGTACATACATCGAGGCTGCATCTGCTAGAGTTACCTTTATAAGGATTACCGATACTTCCACCACTCCTGTAGTGAAGGAGCGGCCTACCCCAAGTTGTCAATGATATACTTGATGATGTTGCATCCTAGCAAGTGACGACGATTACGAGCCCACGTACATTATCGTCAATCTTAATAATGACTGGGCACTTTAAAAACTGTGGTGCCACATGGTAACATTGACAATACACCATGCCCGTCGACTACTATACTCGCTGTTTTGCGCTTACCTGCAACAGAGTGGGTGGACATTTCATAACTTGCACACTGATTCGGGCCAACTGTCGCACCCACTGGCAGGATCACTCCCTTCTGGCAATGTCAATGGCTAGGTCCGGTATAAAGATCACACACCATGTCACTATCAAGGACAATGATCGCAAACATCGCTTCATTGCTTTTCATATACTCCGCCCAGACGATCCACTAGAGTGGCTGACCTCTGTCAATTTCTTACCTCTCCTGTAGAAGGGCCAGATCTTGATATTCCGCAGAGGTATATATGGGCGACCTGGTCGATTTGTTCATCCAAGACGGGGCAATGAGCAGTTCTTTGTTCTTGTAATCAAACAGTATGCACCTCCTCCTCTTGGCACGGCTGGTGTTGATTCCGCCCAGTGTTGCTTGCTGTTTCTGGCACTGCACTTGATTCCGCATACAGTGGATCATGCAATTCCGTCGTGAATTTTCACAGTCTTCTTGGCTCTGTACCATACTGCGCACTGCTGTTTTCTCAATATAATAGGATGCATATTACTGTGAAGACAAGCATGGCTCACTTCACTATATCTGCCTTAGCTACACTTTTCCAGGCTTTGCCCCAGGCATCGCTCGGCTCTTTGCCCTTCGAATTGTTGCAAGAAATTGCGCAACATTTGCTTGACAATCAACCATCTGCTCTTAACTTCGCTGCCGCCAACAGCGTTACTTGTCAAGCCACGTTTTTCTGTACTCCTTTTGTGGATCTCTTTTGCACGGTCAATCTCACTTCTCCTCCTATTCTGGACAAGATCTTCGAGATCTTTGGTGAGAAGTTGCTCCTTGCACCCTCAGTCGCTTCTATCCAGTTTAGTAGATTGGACTCTGGACCTTCAGGAGAAGCATCTGCACTACAAGCAGCTAATCTGAACTTCACGTATTTCTGTACCATAATAGACCTCTTCCCAAATATTCGCTTGGTCACCACTACCAACATCTCCTGGGTCTCTAATGACCCTCTGCCCCGCAATATTCACAACTGACTTCGCTGCTGTACAATTCCCTACAACCTGCAAGACCTTACCATCAACTGCGTGAGGATTCTCGCCTTCGATGTCAAGCACTTTGTCCAGATCCTAGAGACATTGCACCCTTCCCATCTTTTGTCTCTCTCCACCTTGATGTGGACTAGCATTGACATACCACTCGGGATACTAAGTGGATCTAACAAAGAGGCAGCACCAATGACGGTCTGGCGATGATTGTGTTAGCTTATTCAGCTAGCCCAATAACCAAGTGTATTAGTGACTATACTAAGGTACAAACTGAGGCTTACCTAGCCCAATAACCAAGAGGTTGAGATGGGGGCTAGGTAGCAACAAAGGAACTCCTTATATACTAGTCAGACTGCGCACGAACTAGGCGTTACATAAGCGACTGTGCTATGGTGGCTGCTAGTGTCTTTTAGGGGACTTTTTGGTGGAGAAGCAAGGGCCAGCTTGTCATAGCATATGACATTGTCGGGCTGACGGAGATTGGATGTCTGTTGCTGATCGGACTTGGAGATAGACGGAGGCCAGTGTGTCATAGCGTATGACGTTGTCGGGTCGACGAGGATCAGATGTCCAGTGGAGATTGGAGTGCAGCTGTTACCGAGGAAGCATGATGCGGCGACGAGGTGGCGGCAATGCAGGCATGTCTGATGCGCTGATGTGTGCCCGTTGGTGATGTGTTTCCGAGGTGTTAGCACGCGGCTAGGACTTGTAAACTGGTGTCAATATGCCGACGACGTTTGTAGGGTCGTACAAACACGGAATAAACCGTAGAAAATCGGGGAAAATGGAAAAATAATAGGAGGCCGGGGCTACGCCCACGACACACCTATTCAACACACATAACACCCCAACATGTCACTGCTGCATTCAATACCAAGCTGTCTGTAGACAAATTGCACTTGGATCACAGACCCAATGCTTGCAGCCCACAATACTGGTGCAATGGGCCTATCAGCTTAGTGCCAATTTACAGCAACCTCCACTGTCTCTCTGTGCACAGATGTGATTCTTCACATGCTAAGAAGCTTGCCGCTATTATGGTGATATCTCTTGCGACTCTCACGCACCTGATGCTAGATCTCATAGTTTCTGCCTGGGGTAAGTTTCTTTGTCTGCTATGGCAAACAACCACTAATGATCGCTCAAATGCGCAGCATTCCATATGCGCTTGGAAACAGCTCCCTTTGGACCAAATGGTCAACCTTCGATTCTTCAACATATTGCCCCCTGTCTTCATCACCCAAGACTCCCAATTCTGGCTTTACAGGTGGTGCTTTGTTGCCTGGGCTGCTACAAATATGCCAGCCACTGTTGACCATCTGACGCTCACATTATACCATCGCACCCATCAGCCAGATGTTATCACAGATGCCAAGATCGCTGTAGGCCTCACCAGATTCCTGTGGATTACCGTATTCCGGAACTTATGCAGGATCCAAGCCTCGCATTTTATCATTGTCCTGCACTGTGAAATAATGTACAGGGACATTACATCTTGGATGCTGGCATCTATGGAATTCATTGATCAGTACGCCAATATCTGTCCTGGTAAGCTAGAGACCGTTTTCGAGCTGCCGTACATAGCTCATATTTCTTCCCCAGATTGCACAATAAAATATGAAACAGACCTGCCTGATCTCTAATTAATTGCCTCCTCATTCAGAGCTTTGGCCTTATTCCCTATAAAGTCATCTCCTGTTTCTTCTTTATCCCTGTCTTGTACCATATCTCTTGCCTTCCCCCTTAATTCGGATGGCAGCATTGTACTTAGCTTCTGATTATTTCTACCTTTAAAGCCGTTTGACTGTAAGCGTGGCACTCTACATCATGCATCTCATGCTGTCTTCCTGCACGAATTTGCCCACCAAGCTGTGGCAAAAAATAGCTCTCTACATCGCCACAAATACAATGACTGCACTACAACTTGCTGCCACAAACAAATATCTGCGCTCTGTGGTGTTTGGCCTGCCATCTTTTGTGACCATCCTGTTCATGCTTAGTCTTACTGCACCTTTCATCTCCCATGATTTTTTCATGCATTTTGCATGAATACCGCGCTGGCCGAATTGGTCGTGGAGCTAAATATCCATTCTATAACATCCATGCCCCTCACCACTGGATCAAGGCATGACTCAACCGTGTGTTACGTAGATTCTGTGCACATACACGCTATCATTGGGCTATTTGCAAATCTTGACTTCTTGTCCATCGCCAAACTAACATGGGTTGCCGATTGCAATCCATCCCCCTCTATACGCTATTGGGGTCTCCACCCCCCCTACAAACCCCATCTGAGTCACTTATCTATTTGCGATGTAGAGGTGCAGCCAGAGGCACAGACTAGTTTCGCAAACTTCCTCACTGTACTCCACCCCTCCTGACAACTTTTTTTGGGCACCACATCGTTCAGACCAGAATTTCGGGAACCGATCGCGACCAGAACCATCACTCACCTTATACTCAACCACTGGCCCGCTACAGCTATGAGGCGACAATATGGCGGCCCACTACACCTAATACCAGACTACGCAAGCCTTCAGCATCTTCACATATGCAGATGCACAGCCATGCACGCGACAAAAATCGCTAGCCTTTGCCACCGCTCACTGAACACCCTCACAAACCTGACCATCAATCTAGAATCGTTAGCTTTCAGTGAGTATAATGGTATATCTTTCGATCACGGACTCACATTTCAAGCTTACACTGGGTCCGTTCATCTGTGGAGAGCAATCCCACTTTCTTCCTTGATACATCTCAAGGAGTTCGCTCTCTCACCCCCTGTGTTTATCACCGGCAATCCGCTAATGTGGGATCATGGACACCTCTATTTGACTTGGGCTGCCACCCACCTTCTCCCTTCACTTGAGAATCTGACACTCACACTCCATTGCCAAACTCGCAGTAAAAAGCAACTCTCCCTCTCTGCCATTCATCAAGGGCTGTATCACATCCTCTGGCAAACATTATTCATCAACCTTCGGCACATCGAGGCGACATCATTGTCAATCATCCTCTGCTGTGAGCTCACCGGATTCTGCTGCAGAGACACGACACAGACCATATGCAGTTGGACTCCTGCTCTTATTGATAACATGTTGAACTGGCATTAAACACTATATCCCAGTGAGTTTCTGCCTATGATGCACGTTTTGTTTCTCATCATGTTCGCCAGCCTGTGAACTCCGGCTCGACAAAGATGTTCTTCTGTGGAAGTCTTTCCTTCACATGCCACTGAGCTCGCCCACGCAGCCTATTCAACAAGGACAAAGAAATGCATAACAAGATCGTACAACAAGGTGTGATCTGTAGTAGATGTACTACACAGGCCTGACGAGTTTGCCCATAAATTTGTTCCACTACGCCCTACAGGCAATTCTCTCACAGTGAGAATACTGAGAACATGCAAAGCAATACATCCAGGCACAGTACTTAGCAGAGGGCCACAAGCGAGTGTAGAAAGTGTGCAGCGCGACCACGAGGAGGTGCAAATTTGGCAACCGCTGCAGGGTTTGCACTCGTGCTCTTGCTATCCGACTTACACTCAGATATCTCCACATGTTATTGCAGCCTATTCTCTGCACTCTAGTGTGCTTGGACACAGAAGCTCATCTGAACGCTAGTTGGCAGAAGGGAATCGGACTGTAGGGCGAAAGCCAATATCCCCGAGTGATGAACTGTGAACTGGAGAGCGCGATTAGGCGCTGCTCACCGGCTTTTGCCGCAGGCAGTCTGGAGAGCTTATTAGACGCTGGATCCCGGCGTTTGCCGTTTCTCTCCTGTTTCGCTAGCGCTGCCCACACCCCATCGTTTACTATCCTGCATATATCCGTTGCTACTGACTCCTCTTGCAAAACATGTAGCACTGTGCTATGTAACGCCAGCTTGTTCTCAATGTTATTTTATGCTTAGTGGTATATCCAGCCTCGCACTGGTTGTAACAGCAAAGCTAGGCACTTCTTGGCTCAGCTAAAGACCAGGTACCAAAGAGTAGAGTGGTACTGCACTGTTGCCTGCCGTCTTGCTCTGGTCAACCAGACTCCAGTTCAAAATGATAGCTACCGAAACAAGGGTGTTCACACCATTAAGATCAATACTAATGGCGCAGTTCAGTGTACACTCTGTGCATCTGTATGGGAAGGCCCGCAAACTTGAGCCACCGCCTGCTTGTGCATCTAACCCTAACCCCACAGGGGAATCGGCCGGTAAGGCGAAGCCAGTACCCGCGAGTGGGTGTTCAATCACTTTTGACGCTCAATGTAAGTGTGCACTGCGACCGCCATAAGCGATCCATGTCTGCCCGCGCCCATCGCCTCCTGAAGTATCTAGGGAGAAATTACTTTTCCCGGGTTTATCGCTCATGGCACACATCCGCAACGCTACGGCATGACAACCCCCTTGTGCGTTCTCGGCTCCTCTCTCGCCCTTAATTAACTCACTCGCTTTTAGGGCTTGCCAAAACGCCCAGACATGCCTCCTCAAATGCCGCGTCGCAGGGTGCAGATGCAGAAACGGCCCGTGCCGTATGTTAAGAAAGTTATCGTCGTTGCGAGTGGGAAGGGCGGTGTGGGTAAGAGCACAGTCGCTGGTGTGTCAGACTTTCGATTCTGCTCCTCCCCGTCTTGAACGTACATTTAGTGAACCTTGCTTTTGCGCTCGCAGCGGGCCAAGGTTTCCCGCAAGGTCGGTTGCGTGTGGGTCTGCTTGACCTCGATATTTTCGGGCCATCCCTACCAAAACTCATGGGTCTCGATGCTGCTGAGGAGTCACATCTCACCGAAGGTATGCTATCCTTCAATCTCCGGTAGCCAAGCTGAACCAAAGTAGGCGGCGCGATCATCCCACTGACCAATCATGGTATGCCCTGCATGTCTATGGGCTTCTTACTGCCCCGTCCGTCTCCCAGCGCATCGTCAAATGTTGACACTGCGGTCGTCTGGCGCGGGCTCATGGTCCAAAAGGCCGTACAACAGCTGCTTTTCGACGTAGACTGGCGGGACCAGCATAGCGGGACCGCGTTGGATGTCCTTGTGGTGGATATGCCGCCAGGCACAGGCGACGTACCGCTGACCCTTGGTCAGCTTGTGCAGGTCGACGGTACGCCTTGCGCTTCATAGTACATGGCTGCCGTAGTTCAAACCATTAGGCAACCTCATACAGGTGCCGTCATCGTTAGCACGCCGCAAGATGTCGCTCTCTCAGACGTGCGAAAGGGCATTTCGATGTTTCGCAAGATCTCTGTTCCCGTGCGTCACCTCGGTTCCCTCATCGCCTTCCTTGGTGCTAATGGAGCTGTAGGTTGCCGGCCTCCTCCTAAATCAATCGCATTACACCTGCCCTTCTTGCAGTACACCACATCACATCTTCGGCCCACCAACAGCGTTTCGGCGCTTCGCGACCGACCTCAACGTCAAGATCCTCGGCGAGCTGCCTGTACTGAGCAGCGTAAGCGTAAGCGGCGACCGGGGAGTCCCACTAACACTGCACGCAAAGAATGAAGGCGAGAGAGAGTGGCGGGATATTATGAAAAGAGCGGCAGACGAGGTGTGGAACAGTATTAATTCCTGAGTACAAATATACATGATCTGTGCTGCGAAGCGAGCTGCACGAGGGACGCACCTACCATTATACATGAGTCATACTACGATCTATCACCTTGATTGAAACCTGTATCTTCCGATCTCTCTAGCTTATCATGGATAAACATCCAGCATACTTCATACAAGCTACGAATCAGGTACACCCAAATCTGAAAGCATAACTACACCTGCACTGTGATGCCTTCCACAATTCCCGTACCCATGCGCTCAATTTCAGTGAAGATTGCATCATGATTTAGCTTAACGAAGCCTTTGTCTTTCGACTTTTCATTCTCCTAGTGTCTTTTTATCAGCAGTCAATATGACACAATCCCAGAGTACCAAGTCACCTTCGGTGCTGGAGCGCTATTGAACCCGCCAAGCACACGGAACGGTCGTGGCTCCTTGAGCGTTGGGTCCCAGATCCCGCCGTATTGGTCTCCGCCAAGGGGGTCATAGAAGACTTTGAAAGTGTCTGTATAGACCCTCTAACGCGGAAGTACACCTTCATGTGCCCGTGTTCAGAAAATATACGGAGTGGTAACGCACCTTCAAGTCATCAAAGAACATCTGTGCTGGGTCAAAGCCGGGACGCCGCTGCGGCTCTCTCGGTGCAACGGTCAGCCGGTTATTGGTGTACTTGCCCGATTTTCCGAAAAGCGCAGACGCGTCGGTGGCGACGTTGTGGTGGTATCGCGGAAGAGTAGCCCGGTCAAGCCGTACAAGGAAATCATAGTGCTCGGTAGGGTGAACGAAGAGTGTCTGGCGAATTCGGATTGGCGTCATGATTAACAACTGAATATAAACTGACATACCTTGGAATCGAACTCGACGTTCTCAATCTCCTGGAGGGCTGTCCAGCTCGCTTTGGCAACTGTCTGCACGCGTCTTGCTGCGATACCGTCTGGGCACTCCGCTGTCCACATGTGCCCCTCCTCGTCATGCTCCGTTGAGACCACCCACACACCACGACAATCTCCAGCCTTGATCTCAACCTCGGCCTGTTTCGTCTCTCCCTCTGACATCTCAGCTTTCTCATCGCCATACAGTGGCACGAAGACTCCCTTCTCCCACTCCCAGTCCTTCAGGAAGTGCACCACCATTACAAAGCCGCGCTCTTTGGTCCCAGGTACGCTCTCGCGGTCCTTTGTAGTGCGTGTCGCTCCAAGAAATACATGTGCGCATAGCAGCTCAGCGGCCTCTTCACTAACATGTGCACGTAGGAGCCAATGGCTTGCGAGCCAGCGCTTCACCAGGCGTACTGTGCTTGCGAATGCAGTGAAACGATGTGCGAGGGCCGCAATCGCCCTGTGGTGCCTCGGGGCATGTATGAAACGGCGCGTATACACATCCTTGGCGTGCATCGCCTGAGCGCGCAGGCGTGGGTCGGGACCGGAGCCATTGACTGGGTTCGCCTTCGCAAGCTTCTTCTTGATATGCTTTGGGAGATGTGGCTTGTCGTCGATAAGCTGATCAAGGAGCGTCGCCTCGCGGTCGTGCCAGATGCGTGCATTGAATGCCCAGCCGTCCGGTGTGATGAGCTCGAGGCAGCCCGCGTCCTCGATCTCAGAGACATGTGCGGCATCTCCTAGTACGATAGTCGCGCACAGTCCAGGCGCGGACGACATAAGTGCAGAGCCAAGCGTCTCGAAGAAAGCGAGCTTGATCTTCTGAATTGCGCGCAGATCGTCCGGCCAACGGCCACTCTTCTCGAATTCGATGATCACATCCATGACTGGGACGTATCGCGCGCATGCGGGCAGCGTGCCCTCTAGCTTCTGGTCCATTGCCACAGGTGCAAAAACACTCGTATACCGAAGACTCTCGCTCACGGGGCTGATGTTGAGCACAGCGAGAGGAAGCTGGTCGTCGAGCGCCTTGATGTTCTTCACCAGCGTGTCGAATGCGGTCATGGCAGCCTTGAACCCAGCCTGCGCACCTACACTCTGGTACAAGTTCGCGAGTTCGTGCGGTACGCGGAGGACACTATCGAAGTCGCTTTGCCATGCGCGCATGTTGCTCTCGGGCACGCCACAATGCCGGTGCACGAGGTAGCGAGCGATGAAAAACGGAATTTGCGCGCGCTCGTCCGCGTTGCGAATGTCCCAGACAGCACTCTCCGCGATGCTACCATCCTTAAATCTCCGTAGCTCTGACTTCTCGCCCCATAGCTCCCTGAATCTTCGGGTTTCCTGGGTCTCAGACTCTTCCGCCGGCGGACCATGGTCCACGAGGCGAAAAGCGTGCTCAGTGTCCAGGATGAGCCCAATGTAAATGACAGGAGGGAATGCGGGCTGAGCCTGCGATAGCGGGCGTGATGATACCGACGAGTGGAGAATTGCGACAGCCTTGGCACGGTTGCCGAGGCCGATGCGGACGGTGGACTCGAGGGTAGCGAGCAGTGCGTTGTAAGCTGAGCCCGTGTCAAGCACCACATGGATTGAAGGTTTGAGCAATTTCGCCTGCGACAGGTCGATCCTACGTAGCTGTCAGTCAGTCACTAGGTTCGCACGCAAGAGATACATACCTCAAAACAACGTCAAAGCGCTTTTGCAAGTCGCGCCTATCTCGAAGTAACGTCTCCGTGAAAGGATCCTCATACGCCGAAAGCGAGCTATCGTTCAATGTCTCAAGTGTCAACTTCGCGTCATGTTTGAGCTGCGATTGTCCTCAGTTACCAGCAGTATCCTCACCATAGCCATTACTTACCATCTCGAGTGAACCTAGCGGCATTCCCGCAAGTAGGTTCACAGAGGATGTATGGTCAATAAAGACAGGCTCGCATCCGTCATATTCTGCGGGCGGAAACTAACTCCAACGACGGTCAGTTGGTTGCAAACGCTACTTAGATGTATAGATAGAACATACACGATGCTGACCATTCTCCGTCTTTAGGAAGATGTGGTCGATACTGAAGTCCGTCTTCGCTGAACTTGTCATAAGCACGATCTCCACAAGTGCTTAGTTAGGATATGCTTACCAAAGAAGTCAAGCGCGGCTCTAAACAACTGATATGAACTCAAACCCTTGCCGAGAGGTTTGCGCTTCGACGCGGCACCCGAAAGCTTTGCTGTAGGTAGTGCCTCCTCCCCGTTCACAAGCAAGTCCAACACCGCAGCCCACCAGTATCCTCGCCCTTCGAAGCCTCGCATACATAACTTTCGCTCTCCGCCAGCCCCATATCCACGCTGGTTCGCCCACACACGTAACATCGTGAGTGCGTCGCTGAACGCGGCAGCGTTCTTTTGCAGTTGGTACACGCGCAATAGGTGCGCTTTCGGGACAGTGCTGAGAAGTAGCGTAGAGTTGTAGATGGGCGTTGGGAAGTCCTTGGACTCAGACGTAGAGGCAGAAGCTGCGCGGATGTTGCCTCTCTGAGGGGAAAGACGAGAGAGTTGGAGAGGAGATGATGGCGAGAGCGTTGGAATGAGACGAATTTCGACTGGAAGTGTTGAGAAGTCCCTATCTGAGCGGTCTACAAACGCACCATTCAATGAGACTGTGACATAACAGCGCGATAATTTGCAAGTTGGAGCACATACCAAGACGTGACCGAATAATCAGGTTCGTCAGACGCGGGTCTCCCATGCTGCACTCAAATGCGAGATCGACGTTAAGGCCGCTCTTCTTGGCGGTCAGTGCAGCAGCAATGGCGGACAGATAGAATGCACGCTTGTGGAAAAAACGCCCGTTGAGATAGTCCTTCTCTTGAAAAAGGCTCTAGAACAGAGTAAGCCGACAATCTGAGATGTCCGTGCCGTAAGGGCTCACCAGGGGCATCTCTACAGCAAGGTCCACCCTATACGGTGTCTTATCCTGAGCCTTGACGCTCAGCTTTGAGATCCAGCTTCCTACAATCGCAATGTCCGCAGGCGTCTCGAAAGCGACCTTCCAATTGGTGTCTTCCGCGGGAGCGGGTGCAGGATATGGCACGGCGATACCTTTCTTTTGCAGACTGCGCGCAGCGGCCAAGGGGTGATCAGGTCCAAGAGGAGAAAGGGAGTTGAGGAAAGTATGCAATGCGAGGAGGAAACGCTCTAGTGGGGTGTATTTTGCGTATTTTGGACGAACATTCGGGAGGAGCGCATCGATCTAGGCATGCGGGTAAGCGCAAGTTTAGACGCAGTACTGGAGCACGCACTTGGAGCTTGAAGGAGCTAGACCTATAAAGATTCGTCGCGTCCTTGATATCTCTAAGCTCTTCGCCTGTCGGGGGTTTCTTGGGTTTTGTGCCGGTGTGCTTGTCGCCCTCTGAATCCTGAACAGCACCGTTTGAGCTGTTTATACCTCCCCATTCCTCTCCATCTTCCTCATCTCCTTCTGAGACCTCTGATATATCATTTGACCCTTCACTATTTTCTCGAGAGATCCGACCATCCTCTTCGAAGCGCATACCGTCGTCACTTATGAAGTCTTCCTCATCATCGACATCTGGAGAGACACGCCGACGCTGTAAAACCTCAGTACAATACTTGAAATATGGAACAAAAACTTACTTTTTCAACTGGAGGCTTGAACTCCTGCGTGCGCTTTCGCTTGGCCATTGTCGAGGCTGGCGCGACGTCCGAAAGAAAAAAACTAAGCAGACGCCCATCAACCTCTGTACGGAGGGATTGATGGCGAGATTGATGGCGGTGATGCCTGATGCTCGATCATCCGCGCCGCGACCAAGCTGGCCGCGTCCCAAACGAGTCCCCTGCTTCGCGGCAGTCACTCAAGCTTCAAAGCTTCAAGATCGAAGATGGCTGGGGAAAGAATGACGAACGCTATGGACTAGGATTTCGATCTCGGCTGACTGGGTAGACAAGCGCGAAAGTAATCTTGGCTCCGCGACTGACGCGTAACTGCTGTTAACTTCATTACAACTACATGGAAGGTGCGGCGAATGTTATGGTGATAGCACTAGCTCTTATGTGGATCAGAGATTTCGGCGATCGGGAAGCATGCGTGAAGTCGTGATTTTGCTGGCTCATACTAACATGACATATTCATACACACATCGCAGCCCTGAGACCTGAGGCCCACTAAGATCTGAAGCTTGTGTGGCGAATTGGAATGTCATGGCGGGGCTCATGGCGGGACTGATGCGAACAATCACGGTCACGCACGCCACGACAGGCGTCTGCTGGTGTTCTCTTTCCCCCGCGCATTTCAGACCTCAAACCCATACATTTTTGCCACTTTTTCGAACTTCACGAGTTGAGTATGCGGAAGTATTTTGAGTATTTTGTCAAATTTACAGTCCCTAGCAAGCCCTCATAACAAAGGAAGCCCTGCTATGCCTCCAACACGACCCACGGACGCGGAAGAGGCCGATTTTATGCATGAGCTCCTCGCCGGCATTGATGATTCCATCTTCGACGCCATACCCTCACCAGACCAGCCTCGGAAACGCGTACCCAGCAAAACGAAAGTGCAGCTCTCGCCTGTGCGTTGCGCGTTCAAGACACCAAAGAAGCAACGACATGGACGTGTCGCGACTCCGAAGAACACGCGTTCGCCGGCTCAGTCAAAGGAGAATGGGCAGGCGGAGGATCTCGCGGCGTTGCTTGAGGGAGCGGAGGACTGGGACTGGGAGGATATGCACGCAGATTTTCTCACTCCGAAGAAGGCAGCATCGTGTAAGCAAGAGGTGCGTCAGTCTTAGCGAGGCTACTTGACCTGCCATGGCGAACTACTTCCTCTTAGGACGACCAGAGTGATACACGGACGTTAGAACTAGAAAGTACCCCAGAAGTTTCTAAAGGGATTCTCGAATCATGTGCACGATGTGTGGTCAAGCAAGTCTTGCATAGCGGCCACTTATACAAGGCAAGGCGGGTTGCGCTGCTTTCTGTCATTAAAGCTAATTAATTTCTTACAGGAGCTGTTGGTTTCCACCGAGCCTGATGACGAACCCAGGAGGGTCATTCTGCGGGATGACTGGGCAATGTCCGTAATCAAATCTGGTGGGCCTTTATCTGCTCGGCTGCGTGAGCGGTCTCTGAAAGTGCAATGCAGGCGATGTCATAAATGTAATTGGCACGTGGACTGAAGACTCTTCGTCCTCCTCGAAATCCAAGCCCACCCCAACCATCACACTCACATCATTACCAACTTCACCTTTACTTATTCACCATCCTGATATCCTTGTTACGGCGACCGCGCTCAGTAGCACGCCGACTTGTCTTCGCCGTCCGCTCCTCGGGTTGCTCGTCCGGAGTGCGACAGATGTCACGCCTGCGCTCGTGTGGGGTAACATACTGCATGAGGTCATGCAGACATGCCTTCGAGAGGGGCGCTGGGACAAGAGCTGGGTGGACGATCGCATCGAGGAAGTCGCAAGGACCAGCCTTGGTGATCTTATGCGTCTTGACGTCGACGTCGATCAAGCCAAGCGCGAGGTCTGGGCACGCGCGGGTGGACTGGAGACGTTCGCAGCGCGGTATATGTTTAACTCGCCAAAGGTAAGCTCCTCTTCTCTTCTCTGCGCCGGCCGCTAACGGGTTCGTCAGGACAATGCAGCCCTTACTAACACGCGCTCTGAGCGTGGGCAAAGCAGTCTCCTTGCCATATCACGCCTCCACGATATCGAAGAGGATATCTGGTCGCCGACATACGGGCTCAAGGGCAAAATTGACGCGTCCGTGCAAGCGGTCGTCACTGATATTGATGATACTTCCAGTCCTTTCACTATTGTTCAACCCACGCGCACAACAACGTCACATCCGGCACCGCTAGAAATCAAGACGGGACGCGCGGTCGCGGGGATGGAGCATCGCGCCCAGACAATGTTATACACACTGCTCATGAGCGAGCGGTATGGCGCAGAAGTACCGAGTGGATTGCTATATTATACGCAGAGCGAAGAGGTTGTGCGAGTCCCCACAGCGCCCAACGAGATGCGTGCGCTGGCGATGCGGCGGAATGAGCTCGCAGGGTGGATTATGCGACGTATCCGTCAGGGAGAGGCTGAGAATGCGGTTGAGGAAGCGTTCCTGCCACCAACGATCGACAGCGCGCGGGTGTGTGGCAGGTGCTACTCTGTGGACACGTGCATGCTCTATCGCAAGGTACGTCTCCTGAGCTTCGTTGACTTCATTTCAATAACCTTTCGCAGGCTGTAGAACAAGTCGAAGATACTAGCAGCCCGATCGCGGATATCTACGAGCTGAAAACGTCGCATCTTACTCCGACACACACGGCGTTCTTCAAGAAGTGGGAACGCCTCGTCGGCCTCGAAGAACACGACCTTGTGCGCTTCCGCAAAGAGCTCTGGACCCTGCGTGCTACAGAACGCGAGCGGTATGGGCGGGCCTTTGCGGACATGGTCCTCGACACGACATTCACACCCTCTGACGCCCCGCCTCGTCGAGGAAAGGAGGGCAAGATCCATTCATATACCTATCGCTTCGTCAAAGGCGATGTAGCAAGCAATGTGTTGAGTGGAGGTTTGCTGAACGGGCAGATGAACGTGGGAGATGCAGTAACAGTGTCAGTTGAGCCAACCTTGCTGGCATTCGCCAAAGGGTTCATCATAGAGCTCACGCCTGAGCATGTCATCGTCGGCGTCGACCACGCGCTCGAGCTCCCCTCGGTTCGTGCCAGAGCTAAGGCAGATGGTGGAGACGCACCAGTTGTCTTCCGTATCGACCGTGACGAGCTTGGCGGCGGCATGGCGCGGATTCGCGACAACCTCGCGCAGCTCTTTTACGCCGATGGCTGCACACGGCTGCTCTCGCTTGTCGTCGATCTTGTGCCTCCCCGCTTCAACGACCTTCTCGGCTTCGTGCCCGACGGGGCAAAGGGCATCATTAACTCGCTCAATGCGAATCAACAGGAGGCGATCCGACGGGTGCTGTTGGCGGAAGACTACGCGCTGATATTGGGGATGCCCGGTACGGGAAAGACGACGGTTATTGCGGCGCTGATTCGCTGTCTTGTGCTGCTCGGAAAGACGGTGCTGCTAACGAGCTACACGCACTCCGCGGTAGACAATATCCTGCTGAAGCTCAAGGACAGGGTCGATTTTGGAATACTGAGGCTAGGGAACGTGGACAAGGTGCATCCAGATGTGAAGGAGCTTGCACTCGGCGCAAGGGAACCTCCGCGGACCATAGAGCAACTTGAGAATTGGGTCATATCCCCACCGGTTGTTGCAACAACATGTCTGACCATTGATCAGTGAGCCTGTTTCATTGTCTCATAAGTGCAACTTGACTGATTGAGGTACCAGTCCACTGTTCTCTCGCCGCAAGTTCGACTACTGCATCGTCGATGAGGCCTCACAGGTCACGCTTCCGACATGTCTCGGTCCGCTTCGCTTCGCGAACAAGTTCGTGCTCGTCGGCGACCACTTCCAGCTTCCACCTTTGGTAAGGAACAAGCAGGCGAAGACACAAGGATTGGACGTTTCCCTCTTCCGCATGCTCTCCGAGGCGCACCCGAAAGCCGTGGTGGATCTAAACGAGCAGTACCGCATGAATAAGGACATTATGCTCCTTTCCAACAGGTTGATCTACGGAGACAGGCTCCGCTGTGGTAATGAGGAGGTTGCACGGAGGGGACTGAAGACCAATAAGGCCTGGCTGGACGCAGTACACGAGTCACAGGGAAATTGTAAGGCAGGGTGCTGGATCGAGCAGCTCTTGGACGAAAGGTGCGTCCGCACGCCTACTCTTGGACAAGGTTGCTCAAAGTTTAGTTGTGCAGCTCTAAGGCTGTGTTCGTTGATACCGACGCCGTTCCCGCACCCGAGTCGCGTGTGGGAGACCTCACGCAGAACAGCATCGAAGCGCAGCTTGTTGCTTCCTTCGTCGCCGCGCTCACGCGCTCCGGCGTTACACCGAACCAAATTGGCGTGCTTTCGCTTTACCGCCAGCAGATCAAGCTCGTATCTTACCTGTTGAGGGAGCACAAGGGCGTGGAAATATTGACAGCGGACCGCAGTCAAGGTAGAGACAAGGACGTCATCGTAATCTCAATGGTTAGGAGTAATACGGAAGGGCAGGTGCGTTCTCCGGGGCTGCATGCGATGTAACAAGAAATTGACAGCTGTCTAGATTGGAGACCTTCTAAAAGACTGGCGGCGTATCAACGTCTCCTTCACCCGTGCACGGTGCAAACTCGTTATCATCGGCTCGCGCAAGACGCTCGCCTCCACGCCTTTGCTCGAAGAGTTCTTCAAGCTCATGGATAGCAAAGACTGGATTCTCGCGCTCCCGCCAGGCGCAGACACGTTGCACGAGGAACTCCTCTCCACAGCCAGCCTCGGTCATCAGACGAAGGATGCAGAGACGCGGCTGAAACGTCTTGCTGAGGCAAATGATGCAGATCGCGATCCGAGGGACGGCGGGATGTCGAACGTCAAGCGGGCCAGGAGGAGTGGAATTGGCGAGGCAATCGTGAAGGGACGCCCAATCTTGAAGGATCTCCTGAACGACACGCAGTAGCTATGTGACCGCAGTTCTTGCATGCTTATGGACTAATTCTCAGAGGTATCCAATATCATGGTTGATTTAGAATACGGATGAATTATGTAGACAGTACTGGCGCACGTTGCATACACTACAACTTTTCCTGACTGAACCATTCACGTACTTTGACGGGGAAGGTAGCCAAGCTCACATGAACGGTGCTAGGGCTATAGCATCATAGCTTCACTCCTGGCAATCCTCCACGTTTGTGTAAAGGCTGCCATTAGCGCGACGGGTTCTGTTCAAACGTAGGCTGCCTTATCGAGTGCGTCGGTATCCAATCCGGGATAAGTACTGTCGAGCCCAGGCGCCGTGTCTTTGTAATCACGCAGAAATGTCGTAGTCTTGTCACATATATCTCGCTGTTGCTGCCTATCCGTTCTCACGCTTTCTCCCAAAAGAACGAAGACTCTGAAGATGCCACTGCCGCCGCCTCTCAACTTTCCGAAATGGATCGAGGAGAACAAGCACCTCCTGAAGCCCCCGGTGAACAACTTTTGTCCGTACCACGGCAAGGACTTCATCGTCATGGTCGTCGGCGGACCAAACGAGCGCAACGACTACCATGTGAACGAGACTGAGGTGCGCCGCGCGCCGTGACTCGACTTGCTGCGGAGTGGGCCTAACGGTCGGTCGTGTGCGCCCAGGAGTGGTTCTACCAATACCAGGGCGGCATGGTCCTTCGTGTCGTAGACGGCGAAGAGTTCCGTGACATCTGCATCGAGGAGGGCGAGATGTTCTTGCTGCCTGGTGCGTGCCCTCTTCGCGTAGCTCTCATGCTACTTACTACCTCTTAGCAAACACCCCTCATAACCCGGTGCGCTTTGCGAACACTATTGGCCTCGTCATGGAGCGTCCCCGCCCCGACGCAGCGATAGGTAATGTCTTCTGAAGCCCTGTTTCGTCAGTGCTCATAAGACTTCTGTCTGCCTCAGATCGCTTGCGCTGGTACTGCAAGTCTGGCAAGCATTCCAAGCCGACAATCATCCGCGAAGACACGCTGCACGTCACGGATCTCGGCACCCAGTTGAAGCCCATCATCCAGAACTGGATGGCGAACGAAGAGCTACGCAAGTGCCCAGAGTGTGGTGCCGTCGCGGAGGCCAAGTAGACTATGCGCCAGAGACGGCTGACGTAAATATGAAGCTTGTATTTCTATGGAATTTGTAGCAATAACAGATCTGAGCTCATAGTGCATTGCGTGCTAGGCGCAGTAGCGAAAAGCCAATCGAGGCCACTCAGGAGCGGTCTTGACCCTGAACAGATGGAGACTTCGTGGCGTTGGGCGACGTCATACTGCTCCCATCAGTCCACTGCTTCTTCACAGCCCTGCCGCTCATGATGCAATCCCGCCAGCCCTCTCAGATATAAACCCCCCACTCTCGGTCTGAACAATCTAACTTTTCTCTCTCTCAAAACCCCCCAACAACTTTTACACCTGCAATTTATTACCACCATGTCTACCGAGAACCAGATGAACGTTGGCGGCGGGTACGAGCAGGCCGCGAACAAGCCCGAAAACACCGAGATGGGCGGCGGCGTTGGTGCGCAGGGCAGCGGCGTTGCGGGAGGCTGGGACGGCCAGTCAGGCAACCAACAACAGAGCGGTCAGCAACAGAGCGGTCAGCAGCAGAGCGGTCAGCAGCAGAGCGGCGAGAAGCAAGACTGGCTCGACAAGGGCATTCAAATGGCTGGAAAGAAGGCCGGCGTGAACGTCGTAAGTAGTGACCTCGATTTTTCGCCGTCGTTGCCTAACGTGCTACTCTTTGCAGAGTGCCCAGAACGCTGATCGGGCAGGCGACTTCGCCAACAAAGAGTTTGACCAGTATGAGGGTACGTTATGCGATCGCGCCATACATCACCCCAGTTGATGTTTAATATCTTTTGGTAGGACGCAACATCCCTGGTGTTCAGTAAACTGAAAGCATGTAACTCATTGTCCTCCGGGCATAATCTGTACAATTGAGAGTAGATTTGTACTGTATTCTCAGATTTCTGTACTTTACTGGCAACCATATCAAGCCTGATGTTGAGGAGGTCATCGCGTGAATCTGTAGCGGGCAAAACGTCTGTCTTTTCATTTTGCAAGCATACATCCAAATGCTCTTGTGCCGACTTCAACCTTACACATCGAAATCGTCATACCCCGGCATTTCCGTACGGTTTCTTCCCCTCTTCCTCTCTCCGTGAGGCTCGTCGAGATGTTGTACGATATCCGCCCACGCGCAAACCATTCCTGCAACGCCTTCGTACAGGCTGTACGGCCGGTCGGGTGTGCTCATCTCCCCACGCGCTTCTAGCTGCTGGTACGAACGCGCGAGGTGCGCAAGCTGTGTGGCTTTCTTGAACCATTCTCCAGTAGCCCTCGGGTCTCTGGCCTTCCTAGACGCATCCAGGACGTCAGAGACAGCGAGGAGCGCGTACACGCTCCCGGCAACGCCGTGGCAAAGCCCGACGCCTTTGCGCAACAGGCCACGTTCATACACCAGCACGCCGCCCCTCCCCAGCGCGGAGCGACACGCATGTGCAATCGGCTCGGGGACGCACAACGGTGCGTTGTCCGCGCGGAAGGTGCGCAGGAGCGTCGCGAAGAGTATCAGGAGTCCCGGTGCGCCATGGCACCATCTGCTTGTGCATTTCAGCGTAGTAAGGAAGGAGGGAACGGCGAGGTGTACTGCACCAGCTCTTCCTCGCCCGCAGCTTGCGCATAGTGTGGTGCCTTGTGTGGCCAGTTGCCTGAGGGTTGTTGAAGCGCGAGAAGCCACTCAAGCGTGTCGAGGAGTGCGTCCCAGTGTGGGGTGAGCATGGCCGGCGGGCAACGCAGAAGCATCTGGAGGATCCCCGCTGGGTCCACATCCTCAGTGCAAATCTTGGCTGTGGCGAAGGAGAAGGACACGCACCGAGACCATGCGCACCACCGAGGTAGCGTTTCCCGTGCCAGCGCCACATGAGTGCGGGCACGCGTTGCCGTGTGTTGGCGAGAAGCTCGTCTGCATACGCCTTGGCGCCGGCCTCGCCGCGGGCAACGATGTCGTCCACGAGGAGCTTTACGGTATCGTCCGAGACGAGCTGTTCCAGCACGTCGCTGTCCGCGTCCCCTCCTGAATGCTTGAGTTGCGAGCGCAGGAAAAGCAGCGCGTAGAGCAGGCCCGCGCGGCCGTAGAGCACCTCGCAGCCGTCATCATCTAGAGCTTCATGTGTGGCGGTTTTCACTGCGTTTGCGATCACTCTTGTTGCGGCCTTCTCTCGCTGGTTCGTGCTGCCTGAAGGCGTGCGGAGATGTTGCGCGAGGACGAGCGCCGCGGTACCGATGCCCGTCTCAAGAAACGATGTGTGTGCGCTCGAATCGGCGTGTGTCAGCGGGAATAGTACGATTTCTACTGTTGGCGCTGCGCAAGGCTGGAGCTCTGGGAGAGTGACGGCAAGATGCCAGTACATGAGGAGGTGTCCTGTTCGCGAAGACGTTCAGTAAGCGACGAAAGCGAGAGGACATAGTGCCTACCTCCCACACCGATGTAGACGCTCGGCTTGGAAGAGCGGTGGCGCTGCACGCGGGCGACCCCTGCCTGGACTGCCTGGACGAGGTCTGCACGGATTTGGGTGAGGTCGGACGATGGTGAGCTGTCGTGGGGGATGTACCGAGGCATTCAGTCAGTCGGGTCGTAGTGCCAAGTAGCTGAACTTCGCCTTAGAAAGCCTATAGGGAGCTCGGCCTTGCTAGTGGGTGTCGCAGCTAGAGCCCAGTTAGCGGCAGGTAGGGATAACCGTGTCGTTGTGACGTCACATTTACTATCTCGAGTGCTCGAAGCAAAGCGAACCTTTCGCAGTCATAGGTCAGCTGTCAAACGCTGTACAAGGAGGATGAGGCCAAATAGGATGAGCCTACATGGGAGGATGCGGCAGCGCTGCTCTAGGAATTGTCTTACAGGTCCGAGTGGTGCCCGCCGTAAGGCGTGGCGAGTCTGTTTGACGAGTATGCTACATGCTCAGATGAGCAAGCTCAAGCTTGCACCAATTTGCAACCTTGGAGCGGTATATGTACCTGTGACATCACGCGCGGGCTACTCAAGACATACGTAGCGAGCATCCGGGACGTGGAGAGCCAACCGGCTTGGGGGCATTGAGCTCATGCGCGTGCCTTGAACGTGGACACGGTGGTGTGCAGTGTATCTCGTAGCAGAGCGCGCCGTCGGGGCCAGCTAGACTGTAGCGAACGCATGTGTCCGTCCAGACCTGGTACAAGTCGAGAGCGGGGCTTTATGGAAGGGGCTGAGGGCCGACAAAAAGTGCCAGAGTACCCAAGAAACGCGGAGGTAGAGTGGTCCGCTCGGACCCGAAGTAGGTTTAGAAGCGTTGGAGGCGTGATGTTTAATCCACAAGCCCCGCATGCAAAATTAAAATATCGAGGTGCTGCGTACTGGGCCCGATCTGTGACGACACGTTACCACGCAGACCGTGCGCGTCGAGGTCTAAAAGTTCATGCACGCACAGCAGCGAGATGTATTCCACTCGCTGCAGGCCATACGCACGGACCGTCTGGGGTGGGAGCGACGACAGCGTTGAGTTGCAGCAAAGTTCCGCCGCACCGAGCCGGGTCCGAAGTATTTGCGCACGGCCGTCGGTCGCCGTGGCGGCGTCGGTTCCGTCACACAGCGTGAAGCGCACGTCTCGCTCGTCTGTCTGCAGACACAGCATCCGGAGGCTCGTTCGACAACGGATGATGGCGGTGGTACGACTCGGATCGCTGTGGGAGGCAGCATCGACAAGGTCGAGTTGCGGCGAGGCAGACCTCGGAGGGTCTTTGGGCGTCTCGCCGTGATGGGAGGCTTATATAATATTTTGTGCCGAGTGATTGTTGTTATAAGACTCTGGCCTGTCGTCGTCGGCGGCCAACCTTCACCTTTTCCCTCGTCGTCTCTACCTCCTCGTTCGCCGCCTTCGCCAACGGTCCCTCACTCTCTTTTCTTTTACAACACCGCAACTAGGACCTCGGTTCCATCGTAATCCTGTTCCTCGCCTACTAGTTCTCGTAATTCTTCGATACACCTCGACAATTCACTAGCCTAGAGACGGGAACACACGATCACTCATCCACGATGCTCTCTTTGCTGGCCCTAACTCTAGGGGCCGCAACTGTCCTTGCTCAAACCACTCGGGGTGGTGAAGGCCACGTAGGAGGTAGCCTCGAAGATGGCGGAAACACTCAGGTCTCTGCTATGATGGTTCGTCGTTCCCCACGCCATGTACACGCTTTGGTTCTCGCTCATCCTCCGCCAGATGTTCCTTGGTAACGAAGACATCGTTTACATTCTAGACAAGTCGGAAGGCAATGCTGTTATGATCAACGGCCATCCCGCTGTGGGTGCTGTCTACGACATTGCGTCTAGGACAGCAACCCCGATCGAAGTCGCATCCAACCCCTTCTGTGCATCCGGTGCGCACATGCCGAATGGCTCCTTCCTTGCGCTTGGTGGCAACGGTGCTGTTGGTCCCGGCGCTAACCCCGGCGATTCGGACAACGGCAACTACGATACCACCTATGGCGATCTCTCTGGTCAGACCTCTATCCGTGTCATGAATCCTGTCGGATGCGATGGTAGCGCCGCCGCCACCGCCGCCAATTGCCAGTGGTACGACAACCCTTCAGTGACCCATCTCCAGGCCATGCGTTGGTACTCAACTGCTGAGGCCATGGGCGACGGTACCGTCGCCATCATAGGTGGTTTCACCAACGGTGGTTACATCAACCGCAACTACCCCGACGACACCGATCCTGTGTGGCAGGGTGGTGCTTCCACGCCCACTTACGAGTTCTGGCCACCTAGGAACACAAGTCTCCCCGTCATGCAGTTCTTGGTCGACGCTGGCGGTCTTAACTCTTACGCCCTTACTTACCTCCTGGCGTCTGGAAATATGGTTCTTCAGGCCAACGTCTCAACCAGTATGTACCGATACTTACACCCTGTCCGATCACATGCTAACATCTTCGTCAGTTCTCTGGGACCCTAATACTGGCGAAGAAACACCTCTCCCTCCCATGCCCGACAATATCGTTCGCGTATACCCCGCTTCTGGTGCCAACGCGATGCTCCCTCTTACTCCCGCAAATAACTACTCCCAGACCGTCATCTTCTGCGGTGGTAGCGACATGCCCGACGAAGCCTGGGGCAACTACTCTTGGCCGTTCATCAACACATGGGACTACCCCGCGTCTCCTAAGTGCCACCGTCTTGAGCCTGAACCCCAGGATGGCTCCTCTCCCGCGTATGTCGAAGATGACCCCATGCCCGAAGGTCGTACGATGGGTCAGTTCATTGCCCTTCCCGATGGCACTATGTTGGTCGTCAATGGAGGCGCCAACGGTACCGCTGGCTACTCGGAGCAGACTCTCCTGACTCCTACCTACGGCCAAATGCCGTACGGAATGTCGCTAGCATCTGGTCCTGTCCTTCAACCTGCGATCTATGACCCGAGGAAGCCCACTGGTCAGCGTTGGAGCAACGAAGGTCTTGCCTCCTCGAACATCCCTCGCCTCTACCACTCGTCTGCCATCCTCCTCCCGGATGCTTCCGTGTTGATTGCTGGTTCTAATCCAAATGTTGATGTCAACCTGACGACTGTCTTCCCGACTACCTACCAGGCTGAGATCTTCTACCCTCCTTACTTCAGTGCGGCTGTTCGTCCGTCGCCTCAGGGTATGCCGAACACGCTCTCGTACGGCGGTCCTTCCTTCGACATCGTCCTCCCTGCGTCCTCATACTCTGGTACTGCCAACGATGCAGCTGAAAACAGTACTGTTATCCTCATACGTACTGGCTTCACGACGCACGGGATGAACATGGGCCAGCGTCACCTGCAACTGAACAACACCTATACTGTTAGCCAGAATGGTTCCATTACGCTTCACGTCTCCCAAGCGCCCCCCAACCCGAACCTCTTCCAGCCGGGCCCTGCTCTGCTTTTCGTCACCGTCAACGGCATCCCCAGCAACGGCACGTACGTTATTGTTGGCAGTGGTCAGATCGGCACGCAGCCCACCGCCGCTCTGGCCGAGCTTCCTCCAAGTGTTGGTCTCGCCAGCGCTCAAGGAACAGGTGGCGGCTCATCAAGTGGTGGTAACAACACCAGCACCAACAGCACCACGAGCAACGACCAGTCAAGCGGTGCGTCGCACACCGGCCCCATCGTGGGAGGAATCATCGCGGCGATCGCGGTGGTGGGCATACTTGGTGCGGTTTTCGGTATCTGTCTTCAGAGGCGTCGGCGCGCTGCCGCACAGCTGACCGGCGGCGGGGGTGCGTACCCACTGGGTGCGCCCTCCGGCAAGGAAGGAAGCTTTGGCGGCGCGCTGGCTCGTGCTGGTGGAGGTCGTGATTCTGACTCGAGCGCTTTCGTCCCTCTGCAACAGGATAATGCAGGTAGCGCATGGAACGTACACGACGCGAACGCGAGCAGTTACTCGCTCGCCTCACCCTACCGGGACGACGGGCGCGGCGCGAGCGCGGAATTCGATCCATACCATCAGAATGCACCAAGGATGGCAGACAACGCAGGGCGGTACTGAAAGTGTGCATGGACTTTGTTATCTCAAATCTTTTTATCTCTCTCGTTATACATCATCAACTCTGTTGACCTTCTCCCATCGAATTTGCTTTTTCAAGACCCATTTCCCCTTGTCCGTCTTGTCATCAGCGGTTGGGCTGGCGGGCGTCGTGTGTACCCTAGAGTCGGACAGTAGTACAGTACAACAGAACTATCCTTGCACAGAATCGTATTTCCTCACCTTCTCTGTTGCTCTGTCACCACCCGCGCGTTTTTCGCTCGCCCTTCCGTCCGATTGACACCTGCCACCACCATGTTCTGTTACCTGTCCCTGGGACCACATTTTTACATGTTATTGTCGCTACGCTTTGTTCCTCGTTACGAATCCCGCTTCACGACTTGATGACTCTCGGATACGGATATTCTATGCTTCTTGCTACTTAGAATTTGGGGACTGACGAAACAAACTCCGGATCCTACTCTGATACTCGAATGCTGTGCAACATCACTGAGGTCTCACTGCAAGGTACATATGCTTATGATTCCTAGATCTACACTCACGAACGTCTGCGTGGTGGCCGTGTCTACAGCGAGGCCGACACGGAGGCATTGAAGTCGTACGTCGCCGGCGTGGCGCTGAAGTTCATGCCGAGATCGTGCTGCCTGCGCCACGCGCGACAGCGCTTGAGACGGCGCAATCTGGGGCGAGCAGAAGCTTGAGCTTAATCGTCCCTGCAGGCATGCGGGCGTCGGACATTCGCCGGAGCAGTGTCAGCTGGACAACCTCCCAGAGTCGGTCTTGTGTCTGCGAAGTACTAGGGCACAGGGGAATCGCAGCGCGGTCAGTGTTCAGATCTTCAGCCGCGGTGAAGGGAAGAAGAAACAAGAACTATGGCAAGAGCATGATGTGCCCGCTGCGGCAGTGCCGTTCTGTGTAGTCATGCCCACAGGACGGTACCTGCGGTCTCGGATGATAGATGAGTAGGCCTCCGTCTGGCGGTGTAGTACGCGATAAAGTCGAGCCAGTCCGTGAGCCGCAGCTGCCGCACCATCATGAGCTGGTTGTCAGCACGATGCGACAGAAGAGGGGTTATTTTGGGAACGGGGTTGGGTGTCCGACGCGGAAGATAACGGAAGTCATGAAGATGCACGGTTTTCAGAAGCAAGAGAAGAATGTAGGGAATGCGTAAACCATATGGCAGCAGCGAAGGTATCTCGGCGGGGCCAGGAGGAAGTGGAAGAAAGCGAAACGAAAAGACACACTGGCGTGTTCGAAATCGACAAGGGCTGTATGCCGTCGACCGAGCCAACATAATCCAGCCCGCCGTAGTCGTTCCAAGGGTTGGTGTCGGCGAAGCGGTCCACGTTAGGGTTCGCGATGAGTGTTTCCCGGCGCTGCGAAAGTAGCTGATTCTCGCCATACTAGATGAGACCCTTGTTCGGGCCGTAGTGCTATAGAAAGTAAATGAGCGAAACGTAGTAGACACGCGTGTCGACGATGCAGTTCAGCACCATGTATTCGTTCCAATCTTGGTCGACCGAGCTCGTGCCGAACGTGCAATCTTCATAGGAGAACATCGACACCTTGCCATTGTACAGTAGCTGGTTCGAGTGCATGGCGTAGAGTTGGGATGTTCTGCTGGATAGTCTACGTGTCCGCCGTCTCA